AGAGGGCATCAGATCTCATTACAGATGGTTGTGAGCCACCATGTGGTTGCCGGGAATTATACTCAGGACCTCTGGAAGAGCAATCAGTGCTCTTACCCTCTGAGCCATCTCTCCAGCCCCTTTGTTTTGTTTTTAATTTATTTATTATGCATACAGTGTTCTGCCTGCAACCTTGCAGACAGGAAGAGGGCACCAGATTTCATTACAGATAGTTGTAAACCATCATGTGGCTGCTGGGAATTGAACTCAGGATGTCTGGAAGAAGAGTCAGTGCTCTTAACCTCTGAGCCATCTCTCCAGCCCCCTGGCTGTGAGGTTTTTTTGCTTTAAAGATTTTCGCCCCCTGGGAGCTGGAGAGATGGCTCGGTGGTTAAGAGTGCATACTGTTCTTGCAGACCTGATTATCTGTTCCCAGCACCCACATGGAGTGGCTGTAAGTACCTGTAATTACGGTTCCAGAGGAATCAAAAACCTATGGCCTGGAAACATTCTGAGACAAATGAACTCATGTACACACAAACAAAACAAAACAAAACAAACAAACACACACACACACACACACACACACACACACGTAAATTTTTGTTCTTTTTTCTCCCCTAACTTTGTTGTTTAGGTCTGCATCTCCCTGTAAACAAATTATGTTGATCATCTTTGGTACAAAAACAATAGGTTTACTGTGACATTATTTTGTATATTCCCAACATACTTTGGTCACATTCATTCATCATATCACCTCTTGTACCTTTCTCTTCTCAAATACCTCCTATATTATTTTCTTGTTTATGTATCTTCCCTAGAGTTCAAATACACTAGAGACAGCATGTGATGATTTGTGAAGCCTGGTTTATTTACTTACTTTATTTTATTTACATGATGATTTCCAGTTCCACTCATTTCCTGAAAACATAATTTCATTGTTCTTCATGGCTGAATAATTCTACAGTGTGTATATGTTTGTGTCAAACTTTATTCATTTGTTGTCAATGATCAACTATTATGGCTATTATGAATCAAAATGTCATAAACACAGGTATCCATGTGTTTCTGCTGTATGTATGATGATAAGTTGTAAATCGGAGAAGTGGGTACAAGGGTACATTTTCCTTACATCTTCTGGAGAAGACACGTTCAAGTGTGGTTATTAGACTACTTCTTTCAAGAAGGGAACGGCAGCACAGCCTGAAGCAGCTCTCAGGAGCCTCGTTCAAAACAGGCAGCCTCTAGCTATCAGCATTATTAATGAGCAGCTTTAGCAGAAACTCACTCCCACATCTTCAGCAGATACTGCTGACCCAGATTCCGTTCTTAAAACTCCTCAGCTAAGTAGGTAAACTCCCCTGTAGGAACAGTGGCATTTGACTAAATTTAACTTTTTCTTTTTCTTTTTTTTTTTTTTTTAAAGACAGCAGCTCACTCTACAGTCCAGGTTGGTCTCAAACTCTTACAAAACCCCTGAATACTGGCCTGGATTACATATATGAGACATTATGTCTAGCTTTGGGACTTCTTGTTTTTATTAATGTAATTATAATCTACTCAGAGCCTCTTTTAGTACAAGATTGAACAATAGAACTGTTAACAGTAATTCAATTTACATGAGGAAATGATGGGGACATCATTAGTCACCTTTAGAAACCTTGTTTTTTTCCCCCCGCTGGGCAGTGGTGGTGGCGGCGGTGGCGGCGCACGCCTTTAATCCCAGCACTCGGGAGGTAGAGGCAGGTGGATCTCTGTGGGTTCGAGGCCAGCCTGGACTACAGAGTGAGTTCCAGGAAAGGTGCAAAGCTACACAGAGAAACCCTGTCTCGAAAAACCAAACAAACAAAAGAAACCTTGGTTTTTTTTTCCAAACAAACAAAAGAAACCTTGGTGTTTTTTTTTCCAGGAAGTGTTGGTGCACATCTTTAATGCCAGCACTCAGGACACAAAGGTAAGATGACCTCAGTTCGAGGCCAGCCTAGTCTACAGAGTGGGTTCCAGGACCCCCCAAGGCTACATAGAGAAACCTTGTCTCAAACAAAACAAAACAAAACAAACAAGAAAACCAGCCAGATGGCTTAGTAGGTAAAGGCACACTGAGCACAACCCTGGTGACCAACTGGGTAGAGCTCCAGAAGCTGAGTAAAGGGAGGAGATAATTAACTCCATAAAGCTGTCCTCGGACCCCACCCCCATGCACACATAATAGTAATATTAAAACTGTTTAAAAAAATGGGTTGAAGAGGTAACTTGGTGGTTAAGAGTAGTTACTACTCTTACAGAGGATCCAGGTTCAGTTCCCAGCACCCACACAACAGCTAACAACTGTTTCTAATTCCAGTTCCAAGGAATCTGAGGACCTCTTCTAATCACTTGCACATACATACATATAGGCAAAAGACTCATGTACATAAAATAGTAATCAAAAAATGAGAGAGAAAGAGAGAGAGAAAATAGTAAGTGACAGGAACCACTTTCCATGAACTGATTAGCTACCAGAAAAATCAAGTGGGTAAATAAATGTTAATAAATACCAATTAGTCAAATATTGCATCTTTGTATCAAAACCAGATTAATCCTGTATGAGAAGGTCTGACTCAAGTGGACAGACCTTCTACTTGAGTATGTATTAATTAATTAATTAATATTTGTTTGTTTATTTATTTATTTTTGGTTTTTTGATTCAGGGTTTTCTTACGTCACCCTGACTGTCCCGGAACTCTTTCTGTAGACCAGACTGGCCTCTGCAAGGAATAAAAGTGTGCACCACCACTTTCAGCTTAGACTCTGGGTTTTAATATAATAGCATAAAAAACTTTGCTACTGTGGTTTCATACACATATTGCTAATAACCTTTAAGATTTATCACCTGTCAAGCTTTCACACCAAATCAGAGAATATATATAATTAGTTATCTGGTGTGGGGGGGATATCCAATACAGACTTCCTCATGTACTTCAACCCAAACAACATATGATGCCAGATTGAACTCAGTACCTACCATATCTTTACCTGGCACCTAACTGGTGTCTAGAAAATGATGTTAAATGAACAAGTAATTACAAGCAGTGGTGGATTTCTCGCTTTACAGGGCTGCATAGTCTAAAAATATAAATAAAAAATTCTGGAACCCCATAAGACACAAAATCAAGTATTAAATTAGTATCTAAATATTAACTCTCCTCTTGTTTCTAGTCCTCTTAAATTCGGCTCTGTTAGTGAGTCAGCTGAGGACTGGCTTGGTTTCCCACCCTTCTCTCTGGTCCAGAGCTGGCCATAGTCTGACCTGGGCAGCAAAGACAGGCATTCAGCCAGGTGGGCTTTTGGTTTTTGTTTTTGTTTTTTAAAGACAGGGTTTCTCTGTGTAGCTTTGATGCCTGTCCTGGATCTTGCTCTGTAGACCGGGCTGGCCTCGAACTCACAGAGATCTGCCTGGCTCTGCCTCACGAGTGCTGGAATTAAAGGTGTGCACCACCCCTGCCAGGCCTTGATTTATTTATTTAAAAAAATAATAATAAAAAGCCAGATGTGGTAGTGGCACACGCCTTTTAATCCTAGCACTTGGGTGGCAGAGGCAAGTGGATCCCTGTGAGTTTGAGGTCAGCCTGGTCTACAAAGAAAGTTCCATCACGCCAGGATAGTGAGACTGTTTCAAGTAGGTCAGGTCACTATAAAGCTCACTATGTAGGCAAGGATGGTTTTTAATTTCTGATCTTCCTGTCTCTACTTGGCCAAATGGCAGGCTTTTGTCATCTTGCCTGGTTTAGGCCCAGGGCCTCCTGCTGCTAAGCAGGTACTATACCAAACTGAGCTATCATCTCCAGCACTGGGCTTTATTTAGTTTTAACCCCTCACCGTTCACTCAACCCACAAAATCAAGCACATCGTTTCCCTACCACAGAACTGAGATAAAACCAGAATCCTAGATAAGTCTGCTTCCTTATTTTACTAGTACCTGATAAAAGCACATCACTGCACACTGCACATATCGATACAGCAGTTTTCTCTCTTTTCTGAAGACTGTAACAACACAAGTACTATATCTTTCATACATATTGGTTGTAACCATAACCCACTATACCTGCTTCTGAAGGTTGTCCTCTGACCTCCACACCTGCATATACACCTACACGAGAACAGAGAAAGAGAGGATAGATAGATAGATAGATAGATAGATAGATAGATAGATAGATATAAAGAATAAAGGCATCTTTTAACTCAACCATTCTGAATTATTATCATGTAACAATAATAATTATTATGTAATAATGTGTATATGCGTGTGTGTGTGTGTGTGTGTGTGTGTGTGTGTGTGTGTGTGTGTACACAAGCAGTTCTCTCCTTCCACCATCTGGGGTTTGAAGAATAAACTCAAGTTACCAGGTATGTCACTAAGGTCTTTTCCTGCTGAGCCACCTCAAAGGCCCTGAATGTCATCTTCCTGCCTCCACCTCCCAAGTCCTAGGATTATAGGCATAGGTTCTTATGCCCATCTCCTTTCTATTGGTTCCTAGTGGAGACCAAATGCCTAACCATGAGACATAATTAACATGACCCTGTAGTCTCTCAACATGTCCTGCATGTTATCCTTGTAGCTAGGCATGGGCAGTACCCATCAAATAGAAACAGATTAAAATCAAGCAGGTCCAAAGAGCAGCAGAGGATACAAACTCATTCACTGTTGTCTTCTTTTGCTTCATCCTCAACCCATGCATGCATGGCCAACTGATTTAGGGAAAAATATGTAATTTATACATGGGTTTATACAACATGCTGGTATTCCCCAAAGTGGAACATCACTGTATCACTAGAGCCCCACCCGTAGTAAAACTGAAAGACTGTTGACATAATGGCTGTAAACCATATTCTTTCTCTAGTGACTAGAGTGCTTGCTTGACAGACTCAGTTGATGGACTGAGTTAGCCATTGTGACAATGCATGAACTCAACAACATAGTCTTTCCCCACAGACATCTTACCTGATTAAAGCTAGCAAGTATCCAGACAGACAGACCAATAATGAGACCTATTATGTCACCTTTCCTCAGGTGGGACTAGCTAGCCACCTGGTCATACAAAATGACCAGGATGTCATTCCAAAATGGAAGAGAAATATAAGTTTTTTTCTCATCAAAATAAAATGGACTCCAGAAGAATGCCTACATCAACATCCTGATATTTCATGTATCTCTGCTTCTAAACCAAGTGAAGAATGGGCATTTTAAGATCAAAGAATTACAGAATGAAGCTCATGTCTGTAGGACTCACTAATTTCAACCTATCCCACCACCTAGAAGGCCTAATTTAAAGAGACAGAACTGCTTGTTGTTCAGTTAGGAGACAACACTCTGAAGGGTTGATCACTGCTTTGAATCAGACACCTTAACACGGAGCTGTTTCCCCTACTGCCAGAATATACACATTTAGAATCAAGGAGAAAGGCAGGCGGGTTCTTTCACATGATTTGTTTATATATGGGCTTGAAGCCCAGTCCTCACACATGCTGAGCACAAGCTCTACCTCTGAGCCATACCCTAAGCCCCTGTCATTCACCACTCTAGAACCCAATAACAATCCATCACAAAAATGCTTCTTCACTCTGCCAACTGAGTTCTACTATTTGGAAGTTTTAGTCTCCAAAGAGGAAATAAATCTACCAGCCTACAGCTAACAATGCAATTAAATTAGAGGATGGGGCTGACTGCCAATTTGGTCAACTGGGACTCTATGTCACTGAACCAATAATCAGAACCTATGGGTTGGAATGACTGAGCTCAATTATAAAGAAGAAGTTACTATATAAAGAAAGCCAGGAAGACTATCTGGAACCCAGGAGACCCTTTGAAGTACCTCTTCAAACTTCCTTGCCAAAATTGGTGAAAAACTAGAGGAATAAAAAACCAGGCTGGACTAGGGAATGAAAATGAGTCATTTCACTAGGTAAAGAAATTCAACTAGCTCAAGTTCTGCCTAAAGAAAGGGAAATATAAAATTGGTAATTCAGGAAGGTGAGCCATGGTGGTGCATACGTTAATCCCAGCACTTGGAAGGCAGAGGTAAGTGGATCTTTTGAGTTTGAGACCAGCATGACCTACACAGCAAAACTCCAGGCCTACCAGGGTGAGACAAAGTAATTCCTTATTTCAAAAGAAAGTCACTGGTCTTGTGATCTACATCAACAATGGCCTTGTGACTAATTACACAAATGAGAGCTACATTACAGGTTTCTTTCTGTTTGTTTTTTGAGACAGAGTCCCATTATGTCATGCTGACTGTCCTGTAACCCTATGTAGACCAGGCTGGAACCACATCCTGACTGCTGGGATTATAGGCATGTGCCATGACACCCAGCTGAAAACAATGATAGTTTTATATATTTCCTCTTTCATATGTATGAATATATGTATGTATATTATTTGCTTTGGGGAAAGTTTTCTGTGTGTCCCAGGCTAGCCTCAAATTTGGTATATAGCTGAGGATGACTCTAATTATTCTACCACCACCTCCACAGCACTAGGAATATATATACCTTTAACAGGTCTGTTTGTTTTGTTTGAGATAGGGTCTCCTGTAT